GTCTTTTTTGCCACAAGCGCTAGTGGTGAATTTCAATTGCAACGCAGCATCACTTTCCAACGTTCTACGTTGCCGCTTTGTTGGAACTTGTTAAATAAAGTGGGGTGAGCATTTTTTATTGTTATGAGTGATCCAGTCTTGCCATCGAGGTTATAGAGGGTGGGCCATAAGTAACTACCTTATTTGTTTTGCCAATAACTTTTAAAGGATTAAATAAAAGCACAAACTCTAAATTATAGAAAACTCACGGAGATTCGATATAATTTTGGATGAAAAATAATATCTTGTAAATGCGTTGGCAAATCCGTGCTCTTTCGAACAGCATTTTCCATCACTGTCCTTGTCAATATCAGCACGCGAGTACTCTCGGCGGCTTTGATGGTCTCTGGACTGAAATTTTTGCACCAGCACCAACTCCCAGGCTTCTACTTTATTTCTGTAAAAAATGTAAGCAAAATAATTTTACACAAAATACCACTTTCAAATCAGGTAGTTACTTATGGCCCACTCTGTAGAGAGCTAAGTGTGTGTGTTGGACAGAGCAACACATTCAACATTTGCTATGTTGTAGCACAAATAGAAAACCACTGGTTTCGGATCTGGGTAGACTCCAGTCGTCATTATTCATTATTTATTGCAATTATTCAATGGTATCAGCCCGCTCATTGCCAACTTCCCGTAACAATAACAGTAAATAGGATTTTCCCAAAATTTGTCACATTTCAGCAAAGCGAAAGAACATGTTGACGACATACCGTGCTGTACACCTGAATGCGATCACAAGGCAGAGTGGAGAATATGCTCACGCTTGGTGATGTCATCTCGACATCTAAAGGACGCTCGCTATTCCTGTTCTTGGTTTGACGTTGAAGACTCCCTATGTGTACACCGTATTGTCTATTAACCAATACTTTACCCTGGGCGAAGACCCCGGGGCTGGCCCAGGATACACTGGTGGGACAAAGCCGCTCAGTTGGCCTGGGAATGCCTGGGAATTCCCCAAGAAGAGCTCGAGTCTGTGTATAGTAGAGTAGTGTAGTGAATAGTCGTGTAGTGTATAGCATTGTATAGTAGTGTGTAGTGTAGTGAATAGTAGTGTATATTGATGTCGTGCTGGAGTCCGTTGCCTGGACCGCCCTGCTCAACGTGCTGCCGCCGCAACCCTCACCAGGACAAGCGGATTGAGAAATGAACGAACGAACTTTCCATGGCACACAAGAACACCATATAGTGTTTGATGGAAAGCCATTAAAGTGAATTTAGAAGTTCTTGGTTGTCATAATTCAAAACCTTTCCCTGATACGATATGACATGACACGCTTCTGACTTTCATGACATGACTGATGGCTCAATTGAGACGTGGTGATATAATGTCCGACAAAACCGAGGCGAGGCCAACTTCAGAGCTGAAGAGCATTATCTTTGGGCTGTAATAAGATGGGTCTTGAAAGATATCGAGGGGAGGCATATTTAGGTCATTTGAACGATTACTCAAAACACTCTGCCAGCATGTTGAAAGCATGATTGAGATATAATTGGTGGAAATGTCAAAACTAAAATAAGTACCGTACATATTTTTTTTTTAAGTTTAACTACAGGTCAGGTGACTCCGTGGTAGAGGAAGAGGCTCGCAGTTGTAATGTTGCCACTTTGTGGGGAAGTCAACAGTGGTTGTGCTTTTGATAAACTCGAATGCTGAAAGCATATGAATTTCCACCATGAGCTCTGGGATGGAAACGGATGAGGACCACCTCCAATGCTCCTTTGAGCACACGATGACTGACTTTATGGCCTAGTACATGCTATAAAGATATCTGTATATGACATACCACTCTAAAATTGGTATGGTCCTTTGAGAAAAGCTACAACAACAGTGAACCTTTTTTTTAGAATAGTTATCTTTTTCAATAACCATAGTGTTTGTTTCTTTAATGTCCTACATAATTCTTAATTGTTTTTGTTAAATGTATTTTGGAGTGATATGCTTTTCTCCTTCATTACTCTTTGATAGTGACAGAAAGTGTTTATAGTACAAGAAGATCATGATGAATAAGTAATTATGTACGTTGCATAAGCTTACATTATTTATGTTGACTGGTGTTTGGAAAATCCTTTGTACATAAGTTATGATTATGCATTATTTATCTTATCGGGAAACCATTGTATGACCGTTTCCGGTCTCAATTTTTTTCAATATTGCGTCTAGAAATCCATGTACATCTACCTGACATGGGCCTCTTTTAGATTTGCTCAGCCCATTTTGGACTAAGCCAAGGGTCAGTGGCTTTGCCCGCGCGTTGTGAACCTGGTAAACCCGCTTTCGACTTCCAGCCACAGACAGTGGTTACGGCGAGTTTACAATTAGCCGTGTTCCCGGGGCCACAAACTTCACAAATTTACAGTGACCTGCGTGGTGAAGTTACGGGCAAACAAACCCCAAATGGGTGGTCTTCATCCAACGGTGTATTGACCAAGAGCTTAACATTATTATTATTACTTTGGCATTAGATTCAGACAATTAATGTCTACTGTACGTATAAATTATTCATACAGTATATAATACTCCTAATTGTTAAGCCAGGTGGCATCGTTGAAAGGTTGTAAGTTAAACTCCCAATTGGCAATCATCTCGGCTATTCATCCCCATAGAATTTATACATTAAAAACTCTTAGATACTATTTTATTGGCCCTGCCATAGGAATATGTAATGCTCACCACTGTGCCACACCTTTTCTAATTTCAGCAAGGAGACAGTTTTGCCTTTGATCTTTGTTATTGATTCTGTGGAGTCACATTTTTGTTTTGGTAAAATAACTAAACAAAGAAAGGCCAGACTTGGTGTTTATTTTTTCTGGTGAGGCAAGCAACCCCGTAAGATGTGTTTATATGATCCAGGAAAATAAATACCTTTGGTAACTTTCCCTCGCCCTTTGACATCTTTCAGTTCAAACTGTTTGGGTGTCCTCCCATAGCAACAAAAACACTCCTTCCTAGGAAGGGGTGGAAATTGCAAAATTGCTTTGGTATGCAACCTTCAGAAAAAATGTACTAAATGTAACTGCAACTGCCAATCGATGCGTGCATGCTGCGTTTATGCATATGGGGAGGAGTGGTGGCGCAGCAGTTGGCGCACTTTGCTGTGAATTTGGCGACCGGTGTTTGATTCCCAACCGTGGCTGACGTCAGTTGGCGAGTGATAGCTGTTCCGGTCTAGTATCTCCGCTCGGTCGACTCAGCCTTGAACGAGTGGTGGGCGTGGTGAGCAAATGACAGCACTGGAAGGCAAAGGAGGCCACCCGTGGTGGCACTGACCACACCATGCCGCTGTGATCCATTCTGTCATCAGTTGTTGCTGACGAATAACGCTTTCCCTGTCTGTGTATTCGTTTAAATTCATGAGGCAAGTGCTGTTTAGTGATCACCACCAATTAAGGCCTGCACGGTGCGTGAGCGAATTGTGTGTCCAGCACCGTAGCTGGCCCCCTGCGTCTCACCAGTGCTGATCTTTGCACACCCAACACATTGAAGGCTGAGTCAACCTTGGGGAGGCTCAGGATAGGTTATTATACTGGGTGGAATGGATGTGTCTGGCTCTGACTGCAAATTGAATCCCCATTGCCAAAGCTGTATTTTTGTGCTGCATGCTAACCACTCCGCAACTGCTCACCAAAACACACATATACCGTACATCATGGTGCAAGTATTGTTAGCGAGCACCTATTTGAAGGCTTGTATGACACACAAAGGGGATGGTGGGTGTCTATACCACACCTGGCCACCTTTGTCACTGGGTGCTCATTTAAGGCTGAGCCGATCGAGGGGAAGCCTAGGGACCAGTACAGGTGTTTGTTACTTATGTTGGCTGTGAGTGGGAATTGAACTGGAGTCGCTGGGTTTTGTAACAGTGCGCTGGCCACTGTGCCACCTCTCTCCACTGTACAGCTGTGAAAAAGAGCTTTACAGCTCATCGGATTCCTCCAGTATAAATAAATATTCTGATTCTGACATATGCTCACAGGTATATCACAAATTTAATTCCGATCGCCTCCATCGTAAATAGGTCGTGGTGTACCACTGATCTCCAAAAGTCACCCTGATACAGTCGTGAAAATTCGACATTCCCAGAACGAGGGCCAATGTTTAAAGAACAGCCTCTGTTGGCTTCCTGCACATTGAAACCCATCGACCCCTGGGTAACGACGCTGCTGTTTACTCTCACGTTCTCCCGATTTACGAGCAGAATCCTGCCCTCGGCACCACTTGGTCGGATATTATTTGAGTGATTGAAGACATTAGTCTCATGGCAAAGACAAATGCTTCTTTTAAATTCAAGAAACCCCCTTTTATCTCCTTCCGCAAAGCGTGTGGTTGTTGTTGCCATGGTAGCTCTAGGCACAAACGCATCTGTCCGTCTGCCTTTCCCTGCGGGGAAAGCTGGGTCGCTTTACCCAGCGACTCATTAGAGGAAAATAACTTCTCCATCCAGACGCGAGCGAACCACCGTGCAGGGTAATTTCTTTGTTCAGAAAGTGGAATGATGGGACTGTTTCCGTTGCATTCAAGGCAAAAAAAAAATCTGTCCGATGCATTGTTGTATTTCAATGCGATGTCATATTTGAAAAGCCTTAAAGTTCAAGGGTCTTCCTGCTCGAAATAACGCATGGGGCGGCACTTGTCTCCATTGGCTAACCTGAGCAAACGGTGGCAACGACGGTTAACACCTCACTAAGTGGTACTCATTTAATTGATCCCAAAGGAATTGAATATAAAATTACAATCTTCCTGTTGTAACCTTGCCTAGGGTTCCCTTGGAAAAATATACCTTTTAAATCAATGGGCTCTCGCCTGGTTTTGTAAGTATAGTTCACGTATTTGTATATGTAATTATTTTGTCTGCTGCTGCTGCTGCATTCTTTACCCGGCACATAATAAAGAGCTATTAAATTATTACGACGATGATTGTGATGTTGACGGCGATGATGTGTTTTCTTTTCTGCAGCGTCCTTTGTTGTCGACAGGGCCTGGCAGAGCGAGTGGCGTTGGCTTGTGAAGGGCAGGAGGGATGAGGGCAGCCCGGGGCCTCGTGCTTCTGTTGGTGCTACTCGCAGTCGTCTGCCTCGCAGGTACAATCCTTCCTCCGTCCCGCCTCGACAGGGCGATAGCGCAGCCATTGCCCCCCCCCCCTCCCGCCCCCCTACTTCTACTGCTGCCTACCCAGTCCCAGTTTTCACTCCTGACTCCATTCATGATCACTTTCATTGTATATGTACTATGTTGAATTTCATTCACACCGTACATAGCCATTCTTACCAATTGGAGGTGCATATGATTCATGCTAATACCCATCCCATAATGCTGTACGTGAATTATATATAAGGACCACATCCCATATACAACCACTACCAAGCAAATGAAAACCCTACTACAAAAAACCCGAATAAATAAGTAAACAAATGGCACCAAAACAAAAAGCACAAAACAACTTAAAGAGTTAGCACAGCAAAGAAATGAGTCCATTAGATCACATCCTGGACCACAATGCCAACTTGCCAACCCAGCCAGGAAATCTTCACAGCAGGCTGTCAGGTCAAGTCTTATCTCCGTGATTTGTTTGAATCTGGAGTTATAGGCAGCTTATAATTTCCTGGATTGGTGGTAAGCAGTCTGGCCCGTCTTAGCGGATTTTTGCTGTAAGTGGGGCGATGCTGACCAGATGCAGTGCCAATGCTGTAATTTTCCACTTCAAGGGGAACCACCTCTGCCCAAGTGAGCGAGCCGCGGGTTCGTGAACTCACTCACTGCGTGATTAATTAAAAATAAGTAAATGTAAAAAAAATCAAATAAAGTTGGACTAAAATGGCAAATGGAGGTGATTGTGACTTTGTATGGCGCATGCCAACAAGTAAAACGGTGTTCCTGCTCAAATGTCCAACGCAGGACAAATATTAGTATTGGCAGCCATAATTAATTGGTGGAAAGTCCACATTCCAGTGGTAGGAGCCAGTTTATCCATGACCACTACAATATTTTTTTTGTCACATCTATGACATTCTTGCTCTGTAGGGGTCCCCCTCTGCCTGCCCCCTCCCCCCATGTATTTCATGAGATTAATTGTATTATAGGACACCGATTGTTGTCTACCCGCGAAGTAAGAAGGATAACACTGACATTTATTTTGCATTCATTGTGTGTGGTGTCAGCGGCACTGCTCAGGTTTTATAGTGGAAAACAACTTGAGCCGTTCTGGGCTGGTTCAAAATGTCCCTGGAATGGCCCACTTTGAAACGGTGCAAAAGCAGTATAGCAAGCAACAATAAGTCACGTTGTTTATCTGGCAATGCTCATCTCAGTTTCCGGCCACAAGTCATTGGTGTGAGTGCTCTATTTCTTATGATGGGGGCCAGTCTAACATAAGTGCAGCCTCACTTGACGTCCAACAAAGTGGTGGTGATTTTATTATTGACTCCAGAGAGATGATCGGCTGAGTTTGACCCCTTTGCCGGGATTTGAACTTGCATAATTCCAACTGTGAGTCATGCGTTCTAGCGGCAGTGTCAGCTGACCAGTTAAAACCGCAAAGGTGAACGGGAATAACGAGTTGAAAGCTGACGCAACATTGGCCAGATTCGAGGATGGGCTATAAAAGAGAAAGAGCTGTTAAGCTAGGATGAGATGCCAGACGTCGCAGTCGCATTTTACAGAGCGAGGAATATTTTTTGTTTTGTGTTATTTAAAGGCCAGTGCTTTAAATGGAGTTGAAGCTTTTTTCACTTTGTCTTCTGCGAGGCCATTGTGGAGCCATAAAGAAACTGTCAAGTTTATTTATTTCAAGCGCAATTTTTTAAAATAAACTAACTGCTTTTACAGTGCGTTTTTTTCTGCATTGCAGAAACAAAGCACGTTTTTGTTGTACATCTTAAGCGGTGGTGGTTCATTGCTAGGGCCTTACTGGTTGAAAAGAAAGGATAACAATCCTTTATACTTTCTAGCTCATTTAAAAATACATTTGAACATATACAGCTCCCACTCTCCAATATTCAGTAATATAGTTTATCTCCTGGCATGCTGATCTTATGTACGTTGAGTTATGTATTACCTGGTGAGTCATCCAGCCAGGTGGCACTTCGCAGACCACTCGATTGGCAATCATATATTGGGCAGGGGTAAAATTATTCAATCATCCATCTGGTTAGGCAACATATGTGCCACTTTATAGAAGGTAAATGGTGATTATCCTATGAATAAACTGGCTCCCACCATGGGAATATGTAAATTCCATCCTCTGGGGCACTGAGCCATCTAGGATGGGTTCTCCCCCCATTTCTCAGAGATTATTTAACTTTTGACTATTCAAGAAATTTTCCCACGGTTTCAACTGTTTTCAGAAGGAATTTGCAAGAAAAGCACTGCAAATATTATTTTGCGATTTCCTATGCGCGTTATGATTCAAGTAAATGTTATACTTGCATAAATAGCTTAGTGGTCACGCAAAATGTAATGTTTTAAGTCAACTGCCTTCACTCAACTTATACAATGAATGACTAGTTAATTTGAATGAAACCGTTCTTGAGAATTATATCATTACAGTGTTATTTTGCTACATATAGCTTGTATGCAGAATGTAAAACCCACGTTGACTTGGGATATTTAGCGGTGTGCTTTCGCTAAATTGTCCTCACCTGAAGAAGGATGCTTGTGTTGCACCCGAAACGTCGTGATTTAATTTATTTAAATTTTTTACCTACGTAACTTTACCGAAAAAACACACAAAGAGTTTGGGATATTTAGGTGAGGATAGAAAATGCATTTGTAAATATTACATTTAGAAATCAATATTTTTACCACATTTATAATTGTACTCGGAATAGCATTGTATCTCATGTTAAAAAAAACTGCTCTTTGCAGGGCCATAGGGTTCTCGATATGCAAATTAAACTGTAAAAGGAGACTTGTTATTGGCCAGGGGTGGCATTATGTCTACCCCTTTTGCTTAACTTTGGTACTCATGGGAGTGGTTGGAACTGGCCAATGAGATACATAACATATCCACCTCATTGGTGGAGGAGATCCAGCAATCCGTACTTCAATTATGTTTGAAGCAATTGTATCTGAATTGATTTTAATCAAGAAAAGCAACTTGACAAAGCAAATACAATTTGCCACTTAACTTTTGCTTATTTTTTTCATTGTTGTGCTTTTTTTTTTACAAACGTTTTTGTTAAATGTGAACAAATACCACTGCTCAGGTGGCAATGGTAAAACAAAAAAATTCCAATGTAATGTTAACTTACCAGCATTGCTAACTATGTTCTGCGCGATGCCTCGCAGGGGCCAGGAAGGGCAGCGGCGGTAGCCGCACCGGCGGCAGCCGGTCTCGTGGTGGCTCCAGCCATAGCGCAGGGAGCAACACCCAGAAGACCAAGCCTGGCTCCAGCTCCAGCTCCGGCTCCAGAACAGGCACGGGCGGCGGCGGCGGCAGCCAAACGGACTCGCACTACAAGCCGAAACCCGACACGTCCCGCACATCTGGATCCTCCAACCCAGGGGCGGCCAACCCACCTTCAAACCCGGCGTGGGCCCCCCCTGTCTTCCGTCCTATCCCTAAAAACCCCGGGGCAGCTTCCAAACCTCTCGACAACAAGCCCGCCGGGTTCCCCTACCCGGCAGCCGGCGGCGCCGTGGCCGGCGGCGCCGTGGCCGGCGGTGCTGTGGCGGGCGGAGCTGTGATGGGAGGGTCCAGTGCGGTTCACCCAGGCTCTGTCCCCAGAGTCGCGAGTCCCAATGTCAAAGCGGAGCAGCCGGCCCCTGGAGTGGGCCAGGCTGCGCCAGGGTATGGCCAGCCTGCTCAAGGTCAACCGGGTCAAGGATTTGGCCAACCAGGTCATGGTCAGCCAGGCTATGGTCAGCCAGGCTATGGTCAGCCTGCTCAAGGTCAACCAGGTCAAGGGTTTGGCCAGCCAGGTCGTGGTCAGCCAGGCTATGGCCAGCCTGCTCAAGGTCAACCAGGTCAAGGGTTTGGCCAGCCAGGTCATGGTCAGCCAGGCTATGGTCAGCCAGGCTATGGCCAGCCTGCTCAAGGTCAACCGAGTCAAGGGTTTGGCCAACCAGGTCATGGTCAGCCAGGCTATGGTCAGCCAGGCTATGGCCAGCCTGCTCAAGGTCAACCAGGTCAAGGGTTTGGCCAGCCAGGTCATGGTCAGCCAGGCTATGGTCAGCCTGCTCAAGGTCAACCGGGTCAAGGGTTTGGCCAGCCAGGTCATGGTCAGCCAGGCTATGGTCAGCCAGGCTATGGTCAGCCAGGCTATGGCCAGCCTGCTCAAGGTCAACCGGGTCAAGGGTTTGGCCAGCCAGGACATGGTCAACCAGGTCATGGTCAGCCAGGCTATGGTCAGCCAGGCTATGGCCAGCCTGCTCAAGGTCAACCGGGTCAAGGGTTTGGCCAGCCAGGACATGGTCAACCAGGTCATGGTCAGCCAGGCTATGGTCAGCCAGGCTATGGCCAGCCTGCTCAAGGTCAACCGGGTCAAGGGTTTGGCCAGCCAGGACATGGTCAACCAGGTCAAATTCAACCTGGACAGCCAGGATATGGCCAAGGTGGTGTTCCTGGATATGGGCAAACTGGTCCAGGTTATGCTCATCCAGGTCTGAGGCCCGGCCAATCAGGCCCAGGGTACGTCCCAGGCCAGGGTCAACCTGGACCCGGATTTGGACAACCCAATCCGGGCTATGGTCAGCCTGGCTATGGACAATCTGGTCCAGGCTTTGCCCAGCCTGGCCTAAGGCATGGACAGTCGGGTCCTGGATATGTTCCAGGCCAGGGACAACCAGGACAGGGGTATGGACAGCCTGGAGGTGGGTATGGGCAGCCTAGGCCAGGCTATGCCCAACCGGGTCAACCGGGCTATGGTCAGCCGGGCTATGGTCAGCCGGGCTATGGTCAGCCTGGCTACGGTCAGCCTGGCTATGGTCAGCCGGGCTACGGTCAGCCGGGCTACGGTCAGCCGGGCTATGGTCAGTCGGGTTATGGTCAGCCGGGCTATGCTCAGCCGGGCTATGGTCAGGCTGGCTTCAACCGGCCTGGTTGGAATGCCCCAGTACAGCCTGCAGGTCAACCAGGCTACCATTATGGCCAGAACAATCCAGGATACGGTGGCTATGGTGGCGGCTATGGTGGTGGCTATGGTGGCGGCTATGGTGGAGGCTATGGTGGCTCTGGGGGATTTGGAGGCTTTGGTCAGTCTCCGGGATTTGGTAGGGGCGGCTCTGGATTTGGGGGTTTCGGCGGCCAGGGTTTCGGCGGGCAGGGTTTCGGCGGCCAGGGCTACGGCGGCTACAAGCCGCGCAGCAACCTGCCCTACTGGGCGATGGGCGCCGTGGCTGGCTACGGCCTCTACCGCTTCGGGAGGTTCACCGGCTCAATGGACCAGCAGCACCACCACCACCACTATCACCACGACAACACCGGCAGGAGGATCGACTCCTCTGCCGACGGAAGGGGCACGCCAGGGGCTGGTGCCGGTGGGAAGCCATGGATTCCCACCTACCCCAATGGCACCGATCTTCCTCGTATGTACTCGCACCTCCCCACGCCTGTGTGTGTGGCCGCCGCCCTTCCCTGCTCTTCTCCTCCTCTCTGTGCTGAATGGTTTACGTGCGCGGTTCCCACCGTGCATTGCTGTGCCGCTTAGCTTTCTTTTCTGAAATTAGGGTAATTGCTGCAGACACACCCATAACTGGGGCGTGTTATGCCCCAGCGATATATTCCTACGTTATTTTCTTAATCCATGAGCATGTGGAATTTCCACCGCTAGCTCAGGGCTACCAAAAGAAATGAGCCGCCATCCCAATGCTTGTTTTGAACATTGAGATACTTTAACTCTTTTGAAGGTTTGAGAATGCTTCGTGACAAAGTCATGAATCTGTTCTGCTGCAATTACCCTAACCTAAAAATACCCTTTGGGTAGGTTTTTATATATACATATTCTTCACTTAATGTAACATTCGACATACCTGATGGCAACATCTATTTCCATGCTTTGCTTTACAAAGTGAAACTCGCTTTGTCTCATGCAGTGGAGAACTCGATTAACAAATGAGGATGCTCATACCTGTATCATGTCAACATATGGTATTATGTCTATCCTGTCTTTTGAAAGCAACGATATATCAATTGTCCTATGATATGAAGAGATTTCTGTTGATCGCCCCATGTTAGAGAGGAGCCTCTGGAAGGTGACATCACAGAGCTGCTGTAGTTACCCTCTTAAGTCATAATCAGAATAGCTATAAAGCTCTTTTTCACAGATGTTCAGTCGGGGCGGGTCAGAACGTTACGCCAACAAATAATACAAAACCACGAGAGGAGTACAAAGTCTAGGAAAGGTAAACAAGTCACTTAAAGTAACTCAAGGGGTGCTGAAAATTTGCCCTTGCCTCACTAAAATTAAGAATTTAGTATATTTGGTATTCACACTTGTTCTTATAGTGCAAGGCTATCGCTCATGCACTATGTTGCAGAGACGACTAGAGGAGGGCAGTAGGGCGCGATGTTACCACGAGTAATCCCAATCGAGGAATTTGGCAGAAACGGTTCAAATTTGGAAAATTTGGACGATGACGGCACATCATGGCCTACTCATATCGAATAATGTCCGGGGGTCTTTAACATCCACTGTATTATTAACACGCTCGCGGTAATAACCAGCGTGGTCCGCAGGATTCAAACCACGAACCTCTGCGACAAGCGCTGAACACGTTACCGCTGGGCCGTGTCACCACCAAACGAAGGAGTTTTAATTCATGCCAATAAAACCAAATCTATCACGGTCACTCGCATCCTTCCTGAAATACATGGGCAATTACAACGGACTCTGGCTCTTAACAGTAAGGTTCTCTGTAGACCCAGTCCAGCCCCAAATATAATTACCGCTTGGATCATCAGGGAAGATGTCAAGCTTTAATTTTTTACTCGCCCAATGTAATGGACATTTCAGATCTGGGCATGCTTGTGTTATAATTTATGTTACGGTTGAACCATGTACTTGGTTGGGCGTGTAGCCAGTTGTGGGGTCAGTGTGTTTGATCGTGTGTGTGCTCCAAAGCCTAACATCTAGCACAGTTATTCATCAACACCAGTCTTCAAAAGATTTTAAATTCCATATTTTCACGGCAACTAAGTAGCTGATGCACTCAAAGCATAATGCCAATTTTCAGGCCTCTGGAAATGGTTGGTAAACCTTGAAATCTAAACAATGGTGGCACGTGAGGAATAGAGGAATAGAGTTTTCATTGAAGGTAAATTGATCAAACAAGCACACCGGTCTTCAGTGTAGATCTTTGCAGTTGTGGCATATAGCTCTCGAATGTGTTGGTACAAACGTTGTTTGGTACGATGTCCGACGTTTCCAACGAAGCACGCGGAGCGAAAGGTCGAACATCGTGTCCAAAACAACACGCGGCTCACTCAACCCGGAATCACATTGGAGAGCTGCACCCAATCTTCATCATTGCAAGCAGCTGGCTGTGTGCACATTCAGTGGCCAAATTTTAAAATCTCTTTTTACTGTTTGCACAAATCCACGGACACATTGTGTCTAAACAAATCAGCCGTTTACAGCTTAACTGAGCTATGACGTTTGAAGAAAGACTGCATAAAAGTAACAGTTACACATTTGGACTAGGTTAGAAAGCTGTATATTGCATACTAAATGTAGCGCATTATATTCTCGGTAACATTGAGCCTACCCACAGCAGTACATGGTTGTTACCAGCCCTTTGAGTGTTTCGTATTGAAGTAATGGAACGTACCACTATGTGCCCAGGGGGTTGTGATATGACAAAGCGGGTTCCACCTTGTTTCTGTTTACACACAAGCACAAGTTGTGCTGCACACGAGCATCATTGCGCATCGTACGCCCATACGGTTTGTGTTGCCGCATCGCGACGATGCGCATAATCGCACAGCGAATCCATCGCTGTGTCTTCCATCGCTGTGTCTTCCATCGCGATCGCTTGGTTTTTTTTTGCCGCCGCCGATTACATTCACATTCTTGCGTGTCACTTGGCAAGCATCGCTGCTCGCATTGTTTCGCGAGAGGCTCTGTTTTTGCTTCCTGGGTTTGTGTTCGAGGAGTGCGTATGGCACTGCCTTTTGTCCAGCATGCAAAACCCCAGAGCATCTTTGAGCATAGTATTCCACAATGCAGAAGAGATTGACTAGTCTGTTGGCAAAAGACGGCTATTGACCACTTGCACGAATACAACAAGACACATGGATGTCAATCAGCGTGACAACATTGAAGACGGATTATAGAGAAAGCTCAAGACGTTTTTTTTTAATGTTCCCTTGTACATGTAACTTCATTAGCCAAGACAAATGAAAGTTACTTTTGGCTGAAGATACATTACTGTATAGTCATGGTACGTTGGTCTCACGCAGTGGCTCTGTGGTGGAAGCACGTGGCTCACTATAGAAAGGCTGCCAGTTTTTATCTGGTCAGAGGTTTACTGAGCCCATCATTCCCCCTGGGTATACAAGCAGATATACCACTTTGCGGCAAACCAACAGTGACTCATCTTTGAAGAGCCTCTACCATGGAAATGTGTAATATGGATACACTTTGGCTATGACTGAGAAATGCATGCTGTGTTAAGCTCCTGTTTAGGGAAATTCACTTTTTGTTTCTATGTTGTAATATTTTAATCCTGCACTTAAAAGTCGCTGCGAACAGTCTATCTCATTAATAACACCGAATGTTTTGGCATCATTTCGACACATGACTGTGCCCAATATCTTATGCACATCCCTTAGACTCTGTCAATCACACACGTGCCAGTGACAATGCTACCTATATACACGTGCAGCCAATCCCAGGGGAGTTTGACGCAAACAGCACAGGTGCTTCCTACTGCATTGTGAGGCTCATTCAATGTGCCACTGTGCTTTATCTCAGAGATTCTATAGGTGAAAGGACGCGTCTGTCGTGTAGGCTTTTGTTACCCTTTCCAACATTTAGTTGATTGATACTAAGCACATGAGGATTTTAAACCAGAAGGTTAAATCTGAAAGGAATTTATTTATCTCCTCTCTGTGCCTTTTAGCATGGAGATGATCTTTCGAACCATGTTTTTTTTAAATTAAAAAAGTAAAAGTGATTTCCTTGCTCAAATGAGCACTGAGGCGGTGTTCGTCTCCTATTTACAGCCCTCAAGCGGCGGTGGCAATTCCACATTTTGTATGAAGGGAGCAAGTACGCCAGTAGGACATCCACCATTTGATTTGATTTCGTAATGTGGTACTCCGTTATCAGTGCCAGAGGAATGTTGGGGCGAGTGAACTTCCGACCAGAATTCGAACTCGCAAGCTTCTGCTATAATAAACGTGCTCTAAGATCGGCCTGCCCAGTAAGAAGAGTGCTGGGTCTTGGGGAGTACCAGATAGCAGCGGAAAGTTTTGTACAGATTGATCCAAACTTGATGTGCCAAGTGTGTTCAGATTTTGCAAGTTATGAAAATCTTTTTAAAGAAATTGGCCGCAGTTTAAAAAGGAAGCTTTCGTTTTTTAATCTTTGTGATTTTTTTTATTTAATGAACATTTCCTTTAATTGTTTGAGCATAAAATATATGTTTTGACATATTGAATTAAACTTTTGAAAACTATTTCCTCGTGTTATTTTTAAATGACGGTTTGGCAAGTTAATTAAAAGTACTATTTATGGCATTGTTTAACTTTACAACGGATATGTAAAACAACTCAATCGATGCACTTGCATTTGTATGTAAAAATAACTGTTAATCTCATGTGTTAATAATTTTTAGTTGATATTTCCAATCACTTACCAACGAGCATGGTGAAATATGGTCAAGCAATCCCCATTGCAAACATCGTTTAGAAAGGCCTTCATGCTGCAATGGATTGACAAAGGGCCTGTAAATAATTACAATTATATTTCACAATTGGATAGTTGCAAGCTCTAATACTCTTTCAGAGTCAAATCAGCTCTTCACTGCAGTGACAATAAAATGAGTACGGCTTTTGTGGAAAATAAGTAGGTGGTTGATCTTTTGAGATACTGACCTTGGGAATGTGGAATTTCCACTGCTGGCTAAGTACCACTAATAAAGATGAGCAAAAGACATTGCTCATTTGTCAGGGGAAACACATTGACATTGCCTTGACTTCTACAATTGTTTTCGTTATTTGCTGACGATTATAATTACATGTGGTTGTTATTACTAACGTCTCTTAGGTCATTAGTTAGTGTTAACTTTAACCTCAGATGCAGGGTAAAATTAAATGTTATTTTCCCGCTGCTTTGGCGCAGATCAACAGTCTGTACACACATAGTCATCTTAAAATAATTTCTTCCGCAACGAGCATACATAATTGGAATATAAGCTAACTATAATATATTCCTGCATAAGCTGAGAATGCTTTCCCACCAGTGTCTTCAACTGATCGCTGTCTTCAACGCACAGTAGGCTTTCACGACCATTGTTATGATTCGTAATAGATTTTGGCTATAACTACCAGCAAAACGCCCACCAAATTGTTCAATTGAGTAAAT